TATTGCCCGGGTAATGACGCCTCCAGAGCACGACTATTGGATACCCTAGTGGCCCGAGGTAGACAACCCTTCCGTGAAGTAAGAGATGTATTGGGAACACGTGATCTTCCCTACATGCAAGCGATCTACGAATTCCTTTGTTTGTCTGATGTTAGAGTTTGATGTAACCATCCCCTCCTTTCCAAACAATTTCCCGCCATTGTGTCCCAGTCTTATTATCCTCCTGTTCCTGTGCTACTTGCCCCTGCCCAGCCAGGATTTGATCAACCGTCCGAGAGTAGTATCTGAAGGAGGCTTCAGAAACCAGTTTCCTACCTAGCTCCTTCCAATCGAAATTGTTACCCATTAACCTCGAGCCCGCCACGAGTAATCGGTAAAATCAAACATTACTGATTTTGGCTCCGCAAAGTGTCACACACGACTGAGCCTAGTAAATAAACGAACTAGAAAAAAAGGTGACAATTGCATGTTTACGCCAAACTGTGACAGACGATACCCAAGTAACAATTCTGGTTTTATGAGGGTTCTCCATTCATTCATTCCTTTATTTAACGTCGGTCTCTGTTCCGCAATCTAGTGCCAATCACCGACGGACATCGATTGCCATCCATTGACGGCAATCGAATGTGCAGGATGGCAGCTTCCACACCTGCGTAGGATATCGCACCCATTCAACACACATGGACCGGGACCAACGGCTTTACTTCCCTTCCGAAGGAAGACGTGACCAGAGATTTTTATGCCTCAGAAAAATCCCACCAACCTCGGCTGGGATTGAACCCAGACCCATTGGGGTGTGAGAAAGCAGTCAAGCTTACCACTACACCACCGGCGCTGGCCTTTATGAGGGTTCTGTAGACCAAGATTTAGACTTGTAGAATGCTATATAACCTCTTTAAAACTTGCAATGTTACTTGGGTAGGTCTTTCTTCATGTTTTTCAAAAGTAGGCTTTCTATAAACTTTAATTGGATCATTGATCACATTTCCCGCTCACTGAAACACCAAGAGGCCCCACGGAAACCTGTAGTAGGGGACAATTGCATTATTACACGAAAACATTCCATATGACAGCTCTTTCTTCACGGTTTTTCATCAAAAGACTTTTTAAAGACTTGAATTGGATCACCACCGGGAGGTCCCAGCATCACCAGGATGCAAGGGACCATTACATGTTTGAACCAAAATGTGCCGTGAAACAGCTCTTTCTTCATGATTTTTCATCAAAAAGGTTTCTGTAGAAGTGGATTATTAACCATACTGGCCAGTTTCGAAACCATCGAGATTTTTTCGGAAGCAAGGACTAGCCTTGGACTCGTCTGGGAATTGAATCGTAAGGTTTATGAATTGATTCAATAGGTATTTAATACCACTCGACAATAATGGCCTTCACGGCAGTGCGGCCATTCCCAAGCCGCTGATAAAACCCAAAAATGCTGCGGAAAGGATGCGCTGGTGCAAGGACCATACGGAATGGACAGCAGATGAATGGAATCGTGTTGTGTGGTCGGATGAGTCCTCCTTCACGTTATTCCCAACTACAGGTCAGGTTTACGTTTGGCGCACACCAGATGAAACATACAACCCAGAATGCCTTCGACCAACTGTGAAGCATGGTGTGGGGTTCAGTGATGGTGTGGGGCGCAATTTCAAGGCATTCTCTTGGACCATTGGTTGTTATGAAGGGCAACATAAAGGCCAAGGATTATGAAATAATATTGAACGACCTGATGGGGACGCAATATTCCAAGATGATAATGCTCCAATCCACACTGCGCGTACGATCAAATCGTGGTACGCAGAGCATGAACATGATTTCCATCATTTTCCATGGCCAGCGCAGTCACCGGACTTAAACATAATCGAGCCACTCTGGTTAACTCTTGACCCTTAGAAATGTGTTCCCACCACCATCATCACTTAAAGAGTTGGAAAAGTATTTGATTGAGGAGTGGGATAAAATTCCGTCATCGTCAAAACACGGTAATACAAGAGCCTTGCACGCATTTTGGCCACGGAATTCTGCTACATGCGCCGGATCGGATGTTTACTGGCTTTGTACGACTTGTATCCTTCCCTGGCAAGGATGTTCCGCACCGTTTGAAAGTTGGCGTTGTACCTTCTGGCCACATCTCGGATCGAAATACCGGGGTTGGCTTTAACGCACCTCAACACCTTGCTGCGCAGCTGACGATCCCTGGTTCCAGTTTTTTTTTCGTAGGTCCGCCGATTCCTTTCCACCCTCAGGGTTTCCTTGTCGGTTTTGAGCACTCGACAAACTGTTGTTTTCGGCATCTTCAGCACTATAGCCAGCCTGGAACCGGTCCACTCCGGATTTTGCAGGTGCTTGCGCATAATATTTTTTTCTTTTTTCGAGTTTCATTTGACGTTATTTCTGAACGCGATCGACTACTTTGATCAAACTTGCACCAGCTGTTCTCTATAGAAGTGTAAACAAACCACTGTCAAAGATTTTCAATTTCCCAACACTTGAGGCGTGCTGGCGGTATGCGAGGGGCGTACCCATTTACTTTTAGTCAGCCTTTAGGAAATACTTTTCATAAGTGATTGTTTGAGCGACTTTTCAAACAGTTACATGTTATACACTATCCCCCCAAAGACCGCGAGTAATACGTACCGCGTAAATCGAATTCGCGTAAATGGAGTACACGTAGCATATGGGATTTGACCTAATTGGGACCAACATAGAAGGTTACTGTCTTGCGCAAAGTTGTTCAGTGGATCAAGACCTAAAGGTTGGTTGACAGAAATTCGGAATTTTCTCACTTCTCACGAATCATCCAATGAACAACTTCACCAAAAGCAGGAACTTTCTAGATGGCAAGGATTTCAAGATATCACATAAACAAGGAAATCACAAATTCAAGCATACTAGCGCCACGTAGTGAGAAAATTTTGAACTTCTGTCTACCAATCATTAGGTCTTGATCCAATGAACAACTTCGCCAGAGGCAGCAAATTCTAGATGGCAAGGATTTCAAGATATAACACAAACAAGGAAATCATAAATTCAAGCACACTAGCACCGCTTAGTGAAAAAATTCCGAACTTCTGTCCACCAACGATCAGGTTTTGATCCACTGAACAACTTCCCGCAATACAGCAACTTTATAGATGGCAAGGATTTAAAGTTATAACGTAAACTAGGGAATCACAAATTCAAGCACACTAGCGCTGTGTAGTGAGAAAATTCCGAAATTCTGTCCACCAACGATAAGGTCTTGATCTATTGAACAACTTTGCCATATACAGCAACTTCCTAGATGACAAGGACCATTAGAGAAAGATGATTGGCACCTTCATCAAAGTTGTCTCGAATAACTAACTTGACATTTAGAACTCATCAACGGCATGGACCACTCTAATGTCTGGAACATCTAAAGATTGACTGTAATAAATGAAAAACTTTCCCTCAGACACTATTCGCCTAAAACTAATGGTTTAGCCACAAACAATAAATTCTGGACCATTCTGGACGATTCTTTTGGAACTCTCTTTTGTAGTTCATTTGAATCGTCCTTAGAATTTCCTGCTAATTTAGCCCACAATTCTTCTCTAGTTGAGTCTAGTCTACGCAATGCGAATATACCCCACCATTATTCTCAAAAATTAATATCCTTTGAATTCATCTCGCGAATCCCTTGGAATTCCATGTTGTGTATACCTTGAGATTGTATCTGGCGTTTAAATTTTCGAACCCGTAAAGGTTCGTACTGTTGACATTTTAGTCGGCAGGTAATAGTACCAGGTTGTTAAGATAATCCCCCTTTACGTTGAGCACAGAACTCGAGTTCAGCGGTAGCCCCCTAAGGCATCAACTGATTCGTGATTCATGTCCACTAACAACTTATATTCCCAACGACCATCAACTGAATGGCATTCAGCGAACATCGATCATCGTTTTTATTCGCCACCCATTATCACATGCCTCAATGCAAAACCTCCAGGAGGCCACACGATTCCACACGACGCACTACCACTAACAACTGACTAACAGCGGCATCATGCAGAATCAATGTTTCTACCCACCTTACGGGCATTTAACGTGCCACAGTGAAACTAGCAATCTCGAAACAATATGCATTGCACTACAGCACTTTTTGAACGATTGAACCCATTCAGGTTTGAGAATCGATTTCCCCACTCTGTTCAATGCGTACCGCCACATGGAGAGAACTTGAATCCGAACAATGACCAAGTAGTGCATTCTGTCAAAACGAGTCCCCCTCCGGGCGGTGTGGAGCCTGGTCGACTGAGTGACTGGCTGCCATTCAATTCATGTGTTGTTGAAGGTACGATATACAATGTTTTATGCAACAAAACAGGAACTACAGTGCCTGCGGCCAAACCCCCCCCCCCCCCTCCTGAAGTTTACACGCACCGACGACGACGGGGGCCTGCCGTTAGTTGCTCCATTTCATACCGGAACGGATCGAAATTGGCTCCATTGTTGATATCCACCTGGATTTTCTATTTCTTTTTTTCGGTTGGATGGAGCCCATAGGACCAGGATCAGGACAATTCACATAGAACAGACCACGGGATGTAAAATGTTTTCATTTGCTAAAGTATACGTATGTGTGTGTGGTTGATTGTCTGAGTGCATTTGTTCGAAACAAATACAACGTGATCATGGATGGATCTAGGCTGTGGGAAAGGGAGGGACTTGATTCTAAAATTTCACCCCCTACGTAGATGATCACTGAGCATGACATGGTCAGTGCGAGCTCAGCACCGAAAGGATGGCAGAAAAATGCTTCTCTAATTGGTTTAGCGGCAAAACTCCGGAGCCATCTTTTGTATCTCTGCTGTGCTTGTTTCGATCAATAATTCATCTCTTTTGTTGCTGCTGCTGGTCGTGGAAAGTGCCACTGACAGGACACTGGAATCGTAGGCACCATCAGAACAAAAAAAACTCAAGTGCTTAGTCAGATTGTAAGGAAAAAAATGCTGATTCTATTAGAGGAAGCTACTACTCACCATTAAGACTAGGCTGCGAATACTGTACAAAGCCCTCGGAGATATAGCGGCTACTCCGCAGGGTGGAGGAAGCTCGACTGCACCGGGGGTCGCCCGGTTGCCGCTGGAATTCGTCCTCGAACACATCGTCCTCGGCGTACATCGATGGCACATCGGTTCTGGCAGGTCTGCAACGGGTGAGATAACACAAGTAAAAAAAGGCAAAAAGTTAGAGATACTTTCATTTCACATTGAGCTGTAGAGGAGAGCAAATCTTATCCCCTGTCTGCAATCACACGCACACAGTGTCAACTGCGACCGCTGCTGCTAGGAATGGGGATACGTGATATCTGGCATGAAGCATGACACCAACCGATCCGGAGACGACCCTCATTACACGACGATGGGCATGTCTCACGGAATCGAAGTTGATTCCTACGACTAGGAAAAGAAAGCTCAGCCGGTTGCCTTTACCCAGTTGGGAAGGCCTTTACTATCATGTTCGGGAAATCGACTTGCCCTGAAGCCATGGACAGAAATCGGTGTTCAAACTAAAGAAGAAAAATCAAAATCATCTGCTCCATCCGAATATTTATAAACATATTTCAATAATAAATCTGTCACAAGCACCATTGACTGCAGAAAGTTAACACTTATCTGGAAAGACGTTTTCCCCCGAAAACCCCACCGATTCCAACTCCGTCACATTCTAATGATTTGGAAGAAAATATTTCCACTCAAATAGCATCAGATAATGCAAAAAGGGAAAACCGGACCCTAACGGCATTATTAACCCTTCTTTCTTTCCATTTCGGGCGTTCCAAATAAGTGGAGCCCATCAGCTACTACCGGGCCACTGTCTTGTCCCCCCCCCCTAGCGCAGCTTCTCCTTCCCCGTCTCCCACTGCCACATTGTGCCAAACGAAAATGACGCATATCATTATGTTGGCCCCCCTCCCTCATTTCGCAGACCAAAGGCGCCGTGGTTTGTTCCACAGTTCAGGGGGCATGGGAAAATTTAGGAAATCAATTTGGGTGGGACTTTTTGATCGGATTGATCGGCGCGTGCTCGACCTTTCTAAATTAATGCCTTTGTTTCGTGGGCGTCACTGAATTTAACCGATGCTGCCAACACACGCTAAAGGTGTTCTTAGCGGTCGTAAGAGTGGTTTTGTAGTGATGAGAGAGGCTCGATGGCCTATTGGTAACCGGTTTTGGGTTACTGCAGATAGTTATATTTTATTTCAAAAACTTCTTCACATCAAAGAGTAGCGAAAGTCACATACATTTCTTAAATGATTCTTCTCTATCTATTGTTTAACACGACCATGCGTGTTAATTGCAACGGCCATGCGCAATTGCGTCCTTCGAGCTCAACCACCAAGTGTCGAGTGGTATTCGACGCTAGCGCCAAGTCCGAACCATCCAAGCTGTCGCTCAACGAGGTGCTCCAAGTCGGCCCAGTAGTGCAGAATGGAATATTCTCAATTACGCTGCGATTCCGTAAGTACCCATATGCTTTTTCAGCCGATGTAGCCAAGATGTACCGTCAAGTGCTCACGGCGCTACTGGACAGGCGGTTCCTGCGATGCTTCTGGCGATCCGATCCATCGCATCCGTTGAGGGTACTTGAATTGAATACCGTTACGTACGGTACAGCTTGTGCACCATACCAAGCAACGAGGTGTTTGGTGCAGCTTGCCCAGGAAGAAGGTTCTGAGTTTCCCATCGGTGCTCGGATCCTGATAGAAGACTTCTACGTCGACGATGCTCTATCTGGAGCCAACACCCTCGAAGATGCCATCGAATGCCAACGTCAGCTGAAAGCCCTGCTTGCCAGAGGTGGATTTCATATCCACAAATGGTGCTCCAACTCGGATGAGTTTCTCGAGCACATACCACCTGCAGATCGAGAAAAGAAAGTTCCGTTACACGAGTATGGACCCAACGAAGTAATCAAGGTACTTGGATTGCTCTGGGATCCGAACATCGACATTTTCATGATTGCCAATCCACCAAGCGTTTCGCAACCTGCCGATAAACCAGCCACAAAACGCATCATTTACTCCGAGGTGGCAAAGTTGTTTGATCCACTCGGATTGTTCGCTCCAGTGATCGTCACCGCGAAGTTATTGGTTCAGCAGCTTTGGAGGACATCAGCAGGATGGGACGATCCAATCGACGAGGACACTCATGAACAATGGTCCACGCTTCAAGCATCACTACCGGAGCTTGGTCGTATTCACATTCCAAGGTGTGTCACGTTCCCGGATACTATCGCTCACAAATTGCATGTGAGCAATAGTATCCGGTACGCTGATGCATCGAATGTGGCGTACGGTGCGTGCGTCTATTTGAGGAGTATTTTCGCCAATGGATCCGCAAGGTTACGTCTTCTGTGCAGCAAGTCAAAGGTCGCTCCATTGCACGATCTTTCCATTCCACGAAAGGAACTTTGTGCTGCGCTTCTGTTGACGCAATTGGTCGGTCAAGTGATTCCAGCGCTTCAGATGTCTTTCCGAGAAGTTGTCCTTTGGTCGGACAGTACAATCGTTCTAGCATGGCTCAAAAAACCCTTGGATCAGCTTCAAACTTTTGTGAGGAATCGGATTGTTGTAATACAAACGGAAACCAGTGAGTATCGATGGAATTATGTTCGTTCGGCTAGCAATCCCGCCGATATCGTCTCTCGAGGCCAACTGCCGGAAGCTTTGAGACAGAACAGCCTTTGGTGGAATGGTCCGAAGTTCCTGTCCGCATCCGAATACGACGGTGAAGACACCGAAGAGATTCCCTACAACAACCTTCCCGAGCTGAAGGTCCTAGTTGCAACTTCTGCGGTAAGTTGTGAGCCTTTTCCGTTCTTCTTCAAACACAGCTCTTTTCGAAAAATTCAACGCATCATGGGCTACGTGTTGAGGTTCGTCAGCAACTGCCGAAGGCCACGGTCACCCGATCGTGTGAAGCAAGCCCATCTCACTGTCGAAGAGCTACGTCAAGCATCGGAAGCAATCGTCAAGGTGATTCAACAAGTGCACCTTGGTGATGAAATTCAACGACTGGTCTCCAATCAACCATGCAAACGTCTGGGCAACCTGCGCCCGGTGTATGAAAACGGCTTGCTGCGAGTCGGAGGCCGATTGGATCGCTCGAAACTGCCGTTTGCAGCGAAGCATCAACTCATTCTTCCCGACAAGGATCCTGTAACGAGAAAGTTGATTAGTGCATTGCATTTAGAGCATCTTCACATCGGTCAAGCCGGTTTGATCAACATCATTCGACAGAGGTACTGGCTTTTGAACGCAAAGTCTACTGTGCGACAAGTAACACGGTCATGTGTGAAATGTTTTCGCACGAATCCTGATGAAACCAAACAGCTAATGGGAAATCTGCCGACATCGAGAATCGTACCATCGCCTCCGTTCGCAGTGACTGGTGTGGATTATGCCGGTCCGTTTCTGGTGAAACAAGGTTCACATCGTCCGAAGCTCGTGAAAGCGTATGTAGCAGTCTACGTATGCATGACGACGAAGGCTGTGCATTTGGAGGTTGTATCCGATCTGTCGTCGGATGCCTTCCTAGCGTCGTTGAAGAGATTCATCAGTCGAAGAGGAATGGTCCAACAAATTCATTCGGACAATGCAACTAATTTCCACGGAGCAAACCACGAACTACACGAGTTGTATCGGCAATTCCAAGATCAACAAACTGCGAAGAAGATCCAACAGTTCTGCCAAGCACGTGAGATACAGTGGCATTTCATCCCGCCGGACGCACCAGAGTTCGGTGGTTTCTGGGAAGCGGCGGTTAAGGCGACGAAAACCCACCTGAAGAGAGTCGTACGCAACGTGAAGCTGACATTTGAAGAAATGGCGACCATCCTGCTGGAGATAGAGGCCATCCTAAACTCGCGTCCGTTGTACAGCGTGTCCAGCGATCCTGCAGATCCACAGGTAATTACGCCAGCTCACTATCTTATAGGTCGTCCGCTGATCGCTCCAGCCGAGCCGTCCCTGGAAGATATCAACGTTAACCGACTCGATCTATGGCAACATCTTCAACTGATGCGTGAGCATTTTTGGCGAGCGTGGTCCAGGGATTACCTCAATTCTCTCCAACCACGCAAGAAGAATCTACGAACGGCACCAAACCTTCGACCTGGAATGGTGGTCGTACTCCACGACAAGACTCAACCTCCGCTCAGTTGGAAGCTGGGTCGAATTACATCAGTGTATCCAGGTGATGACGGTTTAGTTCGTGCCATCGATGTGTTCACCAACGGATCAACGTACCGTCGTCCTATCAACAAGGTCTCCGTACTTCCAATCGAGGACAACGTTTGCCCCTCATCGGCACCTGAAGCTGTTGATACGATGTCTCAACCGGGGGGAGAATGTTCCGTCCGTTCCCAGAAGGACTGAAGTGAGGTAGCGCCCAATCCTATCTCTACGGCAACACTACGAACAGCGACGATCAATACTATGGTAGGGATTCGTACGAGGGAGAACAGCACAAACCGAACAGTATTAATTCAACCTTCAAAGTGTGTACACTAGAGCAAACAGCAATAAATGTAGTTAAGTTAGTTTAGCAAAAGTGTTAATTCCATCGAACCGATCATCCGAAAATACAGTCCACCACCAAAGATCCGTCCATCCAAGGGAATCGTCAAGGGCACTTCCAGTGTCATCCTAAGATCGTTTTCCACGGCGATTCCCTCCCGCATGTGTTATGGTTCATTGCATCGGAACAGCACGTATATGGCCTCCACTTTTGTAGGTATAAGGCCTTTTTTGCATTCTATACGATTTGATTGTTTGTATATATGTTTGTATATCACAGAAACAACTTTGAATATACGTGCATTCTGGTTGTCTGGGAATACTGGGCCTGAATACTTTTCAAAACTTCTTTCAATCCTCATGAAGACAAAATGAAACTGCAATGATATTCCCTGAAGTTCCCACCATACTTGAAACTGCCGTGAAGTTGACGGGACTTCAATTAAAATATGTCTGATGTGATGATCATTGAACAAATCTGTAGTTTTTTTAAATTTTCCCGAAGTTATTATAGCTTTCCTGAAGATCTCAAAGTTTTCCAAGAATTTCCTTAGTTCCATGGACTTCGCTGAAGTTCCGCAAGTTTTCTTAAAATTTTCTGAATCTAGTGTTCTATGGAAATCCCT